TATGTAATCCTGAAAAACTTCACTGGCAAGAGCAAAAGGTTTTAATCAAGCAGCAGTAAAGAAATTTTTTGATTTGCTTGACGTGAACCATGAACAATTCCCCTTCGTTGGCTCAGTGGAGATGTTCGTTCAGTTGTAATGGAAACACCAAATAATAGTAGCAGAGTTTATTGATGAGACATACTATGGGTGTTGACCCGGTATTACTTTGAGTAGAGACTTTTGCAGTTGATTGCTGAAGACTATCAAGTTTGTTGAGTGAATATTGATTGAGTGATTTGCTTGTGCTATACGCAACACAATTTATCACCCAATGATATCTACAACATAGATGAGACAGGCATTATGACTGTACCTAACAAGGTTTCCAGAATCCTTGCTCTGCGTGGTAAAAAGCAAGTGGGTTGTTTGTCCTCAGCAGAACGAGGTGTACTGGTGTCTTTAGAAATCTGTATGACTACTGAGATGTTTGTATTTCCCCTAAAGAAAGCATATCCGCTCTTAATGGATGGTGCCCCACCAGGGTCATCTGCAGTGTATTATGAGACTGATTGAATTACCAAAGATAACTTTATTGTATGGTTTAAAAAGTTTATTCAGTTTTCTAATACCGGACCTCAAAAACCAGTGCCGCTTATTCGTGATGGTCACAGTTCCCATACCAAAACTCCTACATCTTACCTGGGAAAATAACGTTATATTATTATGTTTTCTACCACACACCACGTATCGATTACGACCGCTCGATGTCTTATTTATGGCACCACTTAGTATATTTTATGCACGAGAGGTTAAAAAATTGTTGCTTAATCATCCTGGCAGGGGTGTTACAAATTATCAAATTGGTCAACTAGTCAATGCTGCTTTTTTAAGAGCAGCTAATGTTCAAACCTCAGTGAAGGGATTTGAAAAAACAGGAATATATCCTTTCAATAGAGAGGTATTGTTTTTTCAATATAAAGTGTCTGTTTTTTCAATATATTAATAGAGACGATTATCTGTTTGCCCCGTCAGATACCACAAAACAACCAAACCACAAATCTGAGCAGCAAATAACAGAACAGTCTATTTTTTGAAGTGGAACTGTGCCTTTTAACGACGCTTCTCCTGAGTCTTATAAAGAAACTTCTACTGAGCTTTATAAAGAAACTTTTCCTGAGCCCTCTACTTCAACAGGGGGGTCTACGTCACCCAAATCAGCTTTTCTGCTTTCACCAAAAACTTTGACACCCCAAAAAAAGGAGCGTGTAAAAAGAAACGGTAACAAGAGGAACGGTAAAACTGTCATATTAACATCGCCACCATACAAGGCTGGAACTAGAAGCCGAAAAACAGAGCGCCAAGAGCCGAAAAACAGGAGCGCCAAGAGAAAGAAGAAGGTAAACACAAAAAAGACCTTTTTAACAAAAATAAAATATCTGCGACTTCCAGTAACAATATATTAAAGAAAAGAAAGACTAGAGAACCAGTCCTGCTACTGCCCAAGAAAATGAAACAAAACAATGGTTTGTCTATCCAAAATAAGCGTAAAAATAAAAAGAGTCAGGCTGCAGATTCTGATACGTCCTCTAATAAAGATGAGGAAGAAGAAGACGAAGAAGCTTGCAGTTTTTGCAACGAGATGTACAAAAACTCTTTTGATCAAGAAGATTGGATTCGGTGCTGCAAATGTGGTGGCTGGGCACATGAAGCTTGTCTACAACTATGCCTGTATTGCGTTGTTTTCTCTTTAATTTTTTTGTGCATATGGAAATCGTTATGTTTGCGTTGTAGTGTTTCAATTTCCGTACATTTCTCCGTCAGCCATGCTTCTTTTGCTTCTTTTATCTCCTTTAGTATAGTCTTCTTTGTATTTGTGTCATTTCTACCTTTTAAATTTCTTCGCTCTTCCATCATCAGCAATATTTTATGTCATCCATTCTTGATTCTTTTCTCTCTTTTTGGTTTTAGGTATTCATGCGAAATTGTAATAATAGATGTCTTCATTTCGTTCCACTGTTCTTCTTTGCTTCTAGTAGTGTCTTCAACTATTTTCGCAAAATTCTTATTAATTTCTGTTTTTACTTTTATCTGTAGGTCATTTTCTTTTAGTAGTCTTATATATATCGTGGGCCTCATTTTCTTATGAAATATTTTGATTCTTCTGTTGATATGTGCAACCAATAGACTATGATCTGAGAAGACGTCTGCGCCTGAATATGTTTTTGTTGAGGTGATAGATTTTCTAAATCTTTTGTTTATGTTGATAAAATCAATTTGGTTTCTTATAATTTTTCCTGGGGTATCACCTAATGCTTTCCATGTATAAAGTCTTCTTGAATGTAATTTTAAAGTTAAATTTTGTAAGTTTAATAATTTATCGACATCGTTCTTTTCATTAATTTTATTTAAAATATGATCGTTTCTCCTGCTAACAAACAGTTAGCGAAATCTATAGACGTAAAGAAAAAAAGGAGTTTTATTTACGAATATACAACAGACCGCATACCTACTAATTCACTACAGACTTAAATTCAACATAACCTACTTCAATGTATTAGTTTTAGAGTTCACAGGCTGACACATACTCCTCACAGATTGGATTCCCTTTTAATGTTAAAGGATATGTTGTTACAAAACTCATATTCTCTCTGTCTCATTAATAAGTATTTGTTTACTGTTTTATATCAAAACGTACACTAACCTTAGAATGTTGGACCAAGTGTTGATGCCATTAATTTTATCCTAGAAACTCATGATGAATGCTTTGCTCTTTGTTTAACTGAGCAAACTAATCAGTGCATGTTTTTAACTGCAGTTTCAGAGAAAGAAATGTCACATAATAAATAACTTAAAAAACAATCATAGCTCTGGTTATGATGAAATATCAACCAACTTAATTAAATATGTTTAATCAGAGATTTCTCTTCCTCTTTCTTTTATAGTTAATGCTTCTTTCAGGCAAGGTAAATTTCCTCAAAATTTAAAACTGGCAATTGTCAAGCCACTTCATAAAAAAGGTGATGTTACTAAGATGGAGAACTATAGACCAATAAATCTTCTTCCATCATTCTCAAAAATATTTGAAAAAGCAATATATTTCAGACTATAAAATTTTTTTACTACAAACAACTTATTTAGTAGTTCACAGCATGGTTTTTTCGCAGGGAGATCTGTTGAGACATATGTTTAATCAGAGATTTCTCTTCCTCTTTCTTTTATAGTTAATGCTTCTTTCAGGCAAGGTAAATTTCCTCAAAATTTAAAACTGGCAATTGTCAAGCCACTTCATAAAAAAGGTGATGTTACTAAGATGGAGAACTATAGACCAATAAATCTTCTTCCATCATTCTCAAAAATATTTGAAAAAGCAATATATTTCAGACTATAAAATTTTTTTACTACAAACAACTTATTTAGTAGTTCACAGCATGGTTTTTTCGCAGGGAGATCTGTTGAGACAGCTATGATTTTATATCAAAAATTTTAGAAAAACTGGAGGTAAATATAAAAACACTGGGTGCTTTTTTGAGCCTATCTAAGGCTTTTGATAGCCTAGATCATGTTCTTTTATTACAAAAATTACATCTTTATGGAATACAGGGACCAGCAATAAAATGGATAAAATCATTTCTCACATACAGGTCGCAAAAGGTATGCCTGGAGAAAAGGGGATGTAAGGTTTACTCTGAAGCGATCAATTTAAAATTAGGTATACCACAGGGGAGTGTTCTTGGGCCTTTTCTCTTTTTGGTCTACATAAACGACCTTTCAAATGAGGTGGTTAGTAGATCCTCAAACCTTGTAAATTTCGCTGATGACTCAAATGTGCTTTTCTGGGAAAAAACTTTAGAAACACTCTCACAGTGGCAGAGCAAATTCTAAGCAAGGCTGAACAGTTGTTCAGTGGAAATCGGTTGTTGCTTAATACTGATAAGACAGTTTTTGTCTACTTTAGAACCAGCCAGTCAACGAGAACAGTTTCCAGATACAATTAATTTTCTATCAGAAAACACAGAACCTGGTAGATCAGTTAAATCTCTAGGTATTCATATTGACCAGAATCTGAATTGGGGGGAACAAATACAAAATACAACAAAAAAACTGAATAGAGCCTGCTACTCATTAAGAGTATTAAAGAGCTATCTAGACCAGGGGATTTTACTATCAGTATATTATGCAAACTTTTATTCTGTTATGCGATATGGAGTAATCTTCTGGGGTGCTGCCGTAGATAGCTCAACTGTCTTTATAGTCCAAAAAAGGCAGTAAGCGTGATCTTAGGACTAAAGGCGAGAGAATCCTGTAGAGGCCTATTCAAGTCACTCAATATACTCACTTTCTCAGCCATCTATATCTTTGAAATCTATTATGTTCCTTTTTAAAAATTTTTCGTTGTTTTATTACCTGCTTCCCAATCATAAATATAATACAAGAAGCCTTAATTTGAATTTGCCACTGACATTTATTGCTCTTTGCCTTTTTTCACTCAATTTACTTACATGTTAAGGCTTCTACGGATTGTCCTGTCAATACTGGGATAAAGGATGTCAGGTCTATAGGAAAGTTATTCTCCAACACTTAAACTCCCGTATCTAAACAAGATTAAACCAATGTAGTCTATAGAGTACCTTGTCAGGATTATGAATTGTCCTATATTGGACAAACTGGTCGTTTCTCAAAAGGACATCTTATTTCTCACCGAAGTAATATCAATTGTTCAAAACACACGTGTGTCTTATCCACACACGTTTTGTCAACAAACCATTGGGCTGATTTTGAGAACATGCTTAGATACTAGTACTGTTGGTAGACTTTTTTCTCCTGTAGTTGAACTGTAGTGATTCTTATTATTTGACAGTCATTTCTATTAAGTAGTGGGTAATTAAAAGCAATTATCGTTGAAATAGACAGTTTCGATAGTCAACATACCTATATATTGTGTGAACTGTATCCACAAAAAAAATTATGAAATACAAAACTTATCATAGCAAAAAAGATAATAGAAATATAATACTTACAATCTACACTAACTTTGATTCGTTTACTAACTGTCGGAGGCACACCGTTACTGGCAATACATAAGTAAGCTCCCATATCCAGTCTGGAAATTTTTGTTAGCTCCAGCGTTTCTCCTTCCCATTCAAGAACTGTAAACAAACAAAATAGATCAACACTGTAATTTACTTTTGATAAACGGGAATAAAAACTTCATAACAACTTCAAAAAAAGTAAATTTTATTAGCACAAATAGTCCCCGCAGTAATAATCTACAAAACTCTTTTAGATCCCTACAGATATATTATCAGAAAGTTTGTGGTTTAAGAACTAAAGTACATGATTTTTACACCAGTATGTTGTCTTGTGGATGGATGAGAGTGATCCCACTAAAATAACTATGCTTAACAGGCCGGTCGGAAGAAGAAGAACGGGGCGACCTAAACTCAGATATCTGGACGATGTACAGGAAGATCTGAGGGAGATTGGAGTGAGGGACTGGAGAAGGCAGACACTAGATAGGGAAGGATGGAAGAATGTTTTGAAGCAGGCCAAGTTTCACGAAGGGCTGTAGCGCCAACTGATGATGTGTTGTCTTGTACCCATGATATTATTTTATTTACTGAATCGTGGTTAAATACTAGTATCTAGGATGCTGAGTGGTTTGACAAAAGGCATAATGCAGCTAGAGCAGATAGAGATAAACAATAAAACTCGTGATAGTGGTTCGATTATTGCAATTAGGAAAAACATAGTGTTTGAATTTAAACATGTTAATTTAAACATTGACAGTGAAAATGAATGCTTAGTAGTAAAAATAAAGAGTAATTTATTACTAATATGTGAGTATATTCTACACTCACCGGTACGAAAAACGAAGCAATTGCGTTTTTAAAATAAAAAACTTAAACTTTTAATTTTCTTTAACCCTCCGTTCATCGGGTGTGGTCTGTGAGTCTACGACAAAATAAAAATTTTAAATAATTCTCTCATTTTATTTTTTTAAATTTCTACCTTTTCAGTACCTTCCTATAAACTAAATACCATTAGTTTTTTTTATACAAAACTGTTCTTGAAATTTCTGAATAGCTACTGCATGGCAGTTTGTCCTGACAGACCCCACCCGATCAAATGTGTAACAATATTTGCACTGCTTCTTAGTTGTATTTTTGTTGCAATCTTGTTTCACTTGGCATTCCTGTGCATTTTTATGAACTGGATTATTTGGTTGTTCCGAGAAAATACGTCAGTTCACTGACTACTGTATCATATATACCGAAGAAAGGAAAAAAATGTGATTGCTATTTCCACTGTGCACAGAGATGATCGGATTGAGGAAGATACTGGTGATCAGAAAAAAAACCAGAAATAATTAATGTTTATAATTCCACAAAGAATGGAGTAGATGTTGTAGACAGAATGATCACATCATATAATGTTTCCAGAAATACGAAACGTTGGCCAATGGTAGTAGTTTATAATCTCCCTAATCTCGCAGCAATTAATGCATTTTTAATTTATAAAGGCAACAACCCAGATAGAGAATTTTCCAAAACGCCAAATTATTCCCAAAAAACCTAGGTATGGAATTGGTACAGGAGAGTATACGACGGAGAGCAATTGACACGCATTTGACAAAAGCTGTGCGTGCATCGGCCTTGAAACTCCCAGGCATTGAGGTCGTCGTTATACCAGAGCCCCAGCCAGGTAAGAGAGGAAATTGTAAATATTGCAAAAGACGCAAAACTTGTTTTTTTTTGCAAAATTTGCAAATCCTGGCTATGTATGGACATATACATAATGGCATGCTGCAAAGATTGCTTAGAAAATTTGACCACAAAAGTTTGACTGCAGTTTGTATCCACAATTTAATTTTTTACTTTATAGATATTTTTGTAGTACTTTGTTTGTTGATAATTAAAGTTTTAAATCTTTTTTTTGTTTTTTTTTATTATTTAGTCGCTTTTCACAAATTTGAAAAAATATGCGTTGAAATTGTAAATATTTTTAAAATTTACCTAATACAACTTTAAAAAAATTTGGAATTGTTTCTGTAATAAACATTATATAGTAAATGATTTGTTTAAAACATTTTGATGCGAAATTAGCAATAAAATGTATGCTGTTGCTCGGGAGGCGGTATTTCATTTTGGTCCTCACAGACCACACCCGACCGAAAGTGTTTCAGAATGGTCACACGATGAACGGAGGGTTAAACTTTTATTATTATAATAACGTAAACACAAACTAATCAAACTGTTTTAAAACTTTTGAACAAAGAATTGTTTCAGTAGACAACAATTTAAAAATTAGGAAAAAAAAACGTAAAGTAAATGTTGTAACAAAAGAAACGCTCAATTCATAAAATCTTAAATCATCTGCCCGGACAAACTGATTTTAATAATGAATGTTTCCTCCACGTGCTAGAATTATTGCCTGAATTCTTCTTGGCATGCCTAAAATCATATGAGAAATGTCCTGTTGAGGAATAAATTACCATTCCTCTAAAAGGGCTTCTTGTAACTGATTTAAGGTTAAAGGTGCAAGAACATGACTTCGTATCCTTCGCCCAAGCATGTTCGATTGGGTTTTGCGTCTCGAATCAATACTGGTCAATCCATTACATGAATGTTTACTTCATTTAAAAACTGTTGAGTAATTCTCGCACTGTGAGGCTTGGCATTATCATGCATGAGAACAAAGTCATTTCCAACAAAACCAGCATAAGGCACAACAAAATCTTGGAGAATTTCATCAATGTACCTGGCAGCTGCTATGGATCCCCTCGGAACGATGTGCAATTCTGAATGTGCCTCTAGAGAAATTCCAGCCCACACCATAATTGAGCCCCCTTGATAGTCTACCCTAGAACTGAAGGTACATTCTGCAAAACGCTCATGCGCCATACTTTCTCACGGCCATCTGGAGACCGCAAGGTAAACCTGGACTCATGGTAAATAAAACGTGCCTCCAATTATTTACAGTAAAGTGAGCATGGTTTCTGGCAATCTAAAGCAGTGCAACTCGATGACGCCTGAGAAGTTGTAGGCCTGCTGCAGGTCTGTGACTGTTTAAATTTGCTTCTCCAAGCCTTCGTCTAATTGTTCGTTCACTTACGTTAGTATTTCGAAGGTACTGAAGTTGATTTCGGATTTGTACAACCGTGGCACGACGATCTCGTAGACTTTTTAAGAGGATAAAGCGATCCTCACGGGCACTAGTTTTTCGTAGAGGACCGGTTCTAGGTCATCTAGTGTAAGCTTTTGTTGCCAAGAAACGTGTAAAAATACGGTGCACAGTACTATTGCTTATTTGATACTTTTGAGCAACACATCGCTCACTTCTTCCGTCTTGAAGCAACGCAAGAATATCAGCCGCTGTTTCGGGATTTACGACCATAATTCCTGAGATTAAATCAACGCAATTCAACTTCAAATTGTGTTTGACACTTGATTTGGCTTGATAGTTTAGTTACATCAACAAGAATAAAAGAATAACGATAGATACTAACAGCTACTTTTGCACTTTTAAAAATGATAAGAATAGTGTATTCTTTATTTTTGATTTTTTATGTATTTTTTTTCGGAAAAGCACTTAATTTTTAATAGAAATTACTTACACAACAGTTACAGAAACAGTTTGTTTTGTTTGTGTTTATATTATTAAAATAATATACGTTTAAAGAGAGATGCTGCAGCATCTGTACATGTTATTATACAGCTTGAAAAAATACTATTATAAGATTTGTCCGTGGATCAATAAGGACTTGCTTTTATCTATTAAACTTGTATCCAGTATAAAGTGTATCCAGTGTAACCGAGAAAGAAAAACATAATTTATAAGGCTTACCTTGAAGAGTTTTATTTATGGTAATTTTGGTATTATCGTCCCTCTTCCATTTAACGTTAGGTGTAGGAAATCCGGTGGCTTTACAAGTTAACGTTTCATTGGAGCCTTCCCTCACGATTGCGTCGCTGCTGCTCAAAGAGTCATCTATATTCGGAGGAACTAAAAATAAAATTTTCAATATAATATACCTATTCTAAATACAAAGTCATTGGTCTTTATTACTTTAAATTATATGTGCAATCTTGATTCGTATAAAAGGATATATGAGTAATAAAAACTTTTAAGAATATCCTGCGAAACAAACAACCGCAAACGTAATTGTCGTAAAGTGCCATGAAAAGAAAGAAAATTATTACAGTGTGTATGTGTGTATACGTTGAACAGAGAATAGCTCGGAATCAATTCCATTTGACTCACAAAAAGTTGTATACACAACTTTTCTTAGAATATGAGAGTTGGAGGTTTTAGATGTTGTTTTAAATTTTTAAATATTTTTCTTAACTAAAAGTGGTTTCAGTTAAATAGCTGAACGATTCTGCATGAAAAATAATGACATTTTGTTATATAAACGTATGTCCGCAAATGCTTCGTTTTTTCGAGATACCTATTTCTTCCAAACTAACGATTTATTTATTGCTCCTAAACTGGTTGAGACATGCAAATGAAATTTGGTGGGCTGTAAGAGTAGTTATTACTTATTTTTTTGCCACACAGTAAAAATACAACACGAAACCAGAAACATTACAAAAAGTACCACTAATATAATTTTGAATAGGCGAAATCTACAAAAAATGTTCAACCCTAGCAAGAACCCCAAAAAGTAAAGTTGTGGAAGTTAAAGAATAAGGATTTGGTAAGAGACTTTAAGAGGAACTGCTAGGAAAAACATCTGCTTAACGGCCTCCTGGAGACAAATAAACGTGGTGGTGGAACGATAAAGTACAACAGAACGTTAGAAAAAAGCTAAAAGAGGTATGACAGGTCTAAAAGAGAGGAAGATACATACAAGGTAGCAAAGAGGAAAGCAAAGCCCGCTGTAATTTCTGTTAAGGAAAGACCTTCCGCATGGCTCATATGAAGAGTTTGAAATACTCGAGGGGATGAGAAGGTTATACAGCTTTGCTAAAGCAAGGGACAAGGGACCTTTTGCGGATGGGTTAAATAGGGTTAAGAACCGATGTTGAAATAAAGCAAAGATGGTATGAGTACTTTAGTAAGTTGCTAAATACCAGAGGACAGACAGACGATGCGGGATCTCAAAGAGAATGTAATATTGGAGATAGCAGAGATGAGGTTGTTGAGTTGTTAAATAGAATCAAGAATGGTAAGGCATTAGGACATGATGGAATACCTGTGGAGGTTTGGAAGGCTCTAGGAAAGGAAGGGATTGATATTTTGTGTGAAACGATGATAAGGATATACGAGGAAGAAAGGATGCCCAATGCATGGAGAGAGAGTGTCTGTGGTGGTACCATTGTATAGAGGGAAAAATTTAATGTCACAAACAATGAAAATTTGGGAAAGAACTGTAGAGCAAAGGTTAATGAGAGACACGTCGATAGGAGAAGAACAGTTTGGGTTTATGCCAAAAAGTATGTAAGGCTCATGAAGGATATGTATGAGAAACAGTATAACAAAGTAAGGACTTGTGTCGGATTCGCCGAAAGTTTTTAAATGTCGGTTGGTTTATCAAGGCACTTCACTGAGTTCTAACCTATTTAAACTTGTTATGGATGTACTGGCAAAGAAAGTAATGGAATTGGTTAATACTCTTTGCTAATGATATCGTGTTAATAGAGTAGAGTAGAGTGCAAAGATATATTTGAGAAGTTGAAGGGTTGGAGAAGGGTTATTGAAAAAAGCGACTTATTATTAGCAAGTCGAAAAGGGAATATGGTTAAAAGGTAGAGGAATAATTCTAAGCAGAGTAGGAGAATTTAAATACCTTAGCTCCTACATAACGGACAATTGGACACTAGATCGAGAAATTGCCCATAGGATACAGGTTGGTTGGTTTAACTGGAAGCGAATGAGCGGGGTACTTTGTGATCAAATGATCGAGGAAGGGCTGAAAGGAAAGATATACAAGAGTAAGCTGAAACTGACAGCGCGTTGTTCTATGAAGGCCATATTTATATAGCTGTATAGCGATGAACAAATCCATTTATCAGAACCAGTCAAGCTAATAGAATATATGTACGCATGAAAAAAGCACAATTACAAGAACGACTGCTTGACAATAGACAAAATTTGGCGAAGGTTGACAAAGAGCTTCCAGATTTGTTTGACGTTTTGAGCAGCAGGTTGAAATATGCAGATTGGAATAAGATTGAATCCATTTGATACAGAAAAATGTAAAATGAACTAGGAAGGAATACTGAACGCCAGAAAAACAAATATGAACGGTTAACCAAACATAAGAAGGTAGAATCAAAACAAAACACAAAAAGGAGAGTGGTCAACCTTTCAAATAAGGTTTCAACTCCAGCCTAAAATCATTGCTAGCCAAAGGAAGAAATTTTGTAATTGCACCTAAAGTTATACCCATTGAAGATACTATTGGTAATATCGAGTCTGCGATTCGCAACTTACCAATCGAAAAAGCTGAAGAAATAATGACAGAATCAACGAGAATTTTGCTAAGACATCGAAAAATAACCTGAGTCACCAAGAAATCCGTGCCATAAAATCATTAAACGCAGACAAGGATGTTGTAATTTTACCAGCAGACAAGGGAAACGCCACCGTCGTAATGAAGCAAACCGACTACAAAACGAAATCTTCTAGATCATGCAGTATATAAAAGACTTAAAAAGATCCCACAGCAGTCATTCTACGGAAAATCAATAGATTTATATAATCTTCGTCCATCAGAGGATACAAAGCCAAGAATATGCAACAGCAAAGCAGTCCCACCACGCTTGTATGGCTTACCAAAAATACACAAAGACAATGTACCTCTACACCCTATTGTGAGCTCCATAGGGTCTCCGTGTTATAGCCTTGCTAAATATCTGGCCGATATTTTACAAGTACACATAGGAAAAAACGATGCCTTTGTAAAAGACTCCGCCTATTTCATCGAGAAGATCAAAGGAATAACTTTACAGGAACCTGACATTCTTGTTACCTTTGATGTTGTTTCCCTATTTACAAGAGTTTCATTAGATGTTCTGAATTGAGGGAGTGGTTTCAAGGATATGGTGGAATTATACCGTATTAGCCTCACTACCACCTACTTTTCATGGAAAGACCAGGTTTATGAACACGTAGATTGAGTAGCAATGGGAAGCCCACTAAGCTCGGTCGTAGCCAACCTTTTCATGGAGCATCTCGAGAAAAAGGTAATGGAGTCAAGCCAAGGGTATGGTTCACAATTTTGTGATTTGGGGTTACGGAGTAGAAAAACTTAACGATTTCCTGTCTTATATAAACACACTACATCCAAATATTCAATTTACGATGGAAACAGAAAGATCAACAACTAGCGTTCCTAGATGTATTAGTAAACCGAAAGAAAGGTTACTTAGGACATAAAGGGTATCGAAAACCTACACACATGAACAGATACCCAAACAGGAACTCAAATAATCATCCATGCCAAAATCAAGGTATCATCAAAACTCTGGAGGAGAGGGCGAAGAGAATTTGTGAACCACAGCATCTGCAAAATGAACTTCTTCATATCAAAAAAGCGCTCACCTCCAATAGTTATACCAGAACAGAAATACATAAAACGATTAACAACGTTTCTAGGAAGAAGAAACAGCGTGTATAACCAAAGCGTTCTTGCCCTATATATCGGGGGTAACAGACAGAATTGGGCGAATACTTAAAAAAGTCAATGTAAAGGCCATTTTCAAGCCTACAAAGAAAATTAAGGATTGTTTAAGATCAATGAAGAATAAACGCGACCCATTAAATTAAAATTTCAATTAAAATAAACTTCAAATTAGACAATTCAGTCTATCATCAAAATCATCATATAATGATCATAATAATATAATCAAAACAGACTTCAATTAAAACTAAAAATGACAAATAATAGTAAAAATTAAAAATAATGCGTTACAGCTGTAATGTGTAAGAATTTATTGTTTGATACACTTAACTACTACAAAAAATGTACATACAGGCCAAACCTACAAAATACTCACGTCCAATAAATTCTTGGTGAATGATAAGGTTTTACTTTTTTGTACAAAGTGTGTCAAATCAAATCTAAACACAAAAAGGCTGTACTTAAAAATCAATTAGTAACAAACCAGTTTCACTACCTTTACACTAACGAATTAAACTAATAGTACAGTAATCCCGGTGGAATGATACTTTTAGACCCGCCTTAATTATTGATTTCGTCTATTAGAAGCAAGTTAGAAAACCAGTTAGTAATAAAACCAGTTCCGCTACCTTTACACTAACGAATTAAAATATGAGTACAGTAGTTCTGGTGGGATGATACTGTTAGTACCGCCTTTATTATTGAGTTGGTCTATTACTACCTAGTATGTAATTAGTCTAGGAGACAGGGGGGCGTTGAGTATACAGTTTTATGTACCTTTGGTGAAAATCTTTCAGTTTTATGTAGGTACCTTCTAGCTTGAAGTTTTTTTATGTTTTTTAGTGTGTAGTTTTGATTTTTCGAGGATAACGAGGCTAAAATTCGTCAAATAATTTGTTATTTACAATTTAATTGTTTAAGTGATTGTATCTAATAAACTATTAGAGATAAAGGGTACAGGTCCATAAGTTATCGAATATATATTATCTTCGTACAAAGAAAGTTTAAATTTTAAAACCATTTATTGACAAATTATTGATGGTTATCATGAACTGTTGCTTAGATAAGTTATTTGGGTAATTAATGAGATACACACAAGAAATTAAACTTATATATTGATATTATGCAAATTAAAACATAAGCCTTAATTGGTCAAACCGCCTAATATTATTGGCATAAAGGGATAAAGTCCAAAAAACAAGTTAAAACGACAAGTAGGCGGAAGATATTAATATGAAATAATAATTCTAATTCTTGGGCAGATTATCAAAAAATTGTTTTGCTTTGTCATTAAAGAATCGTTTTAAATCTTGTAGACATTTAAATTTTTTAGCCGAGATTGGTATCAAACCTAAAAATAATGTTGTTTAATAAAAGT